ATTTCGTAAATTGCCCTTTAAGGTCGTAATTCATTTCTAAAGCGAACTTTCCATATACCTAATGTTAAAAATACCTTAGCTGTACTTATTTGTTTGTTATTCTTTCAATTTATTTCCTTATTAAAATAAGTGTGATTTTTTTGTATTAGGTACTGTATTCTGTGTTAAATTATGTAGCACATGAAATGGTTGATATCACCCCATTTTTCAGGATTCTCTACGGGGAAAATTCGTTTGAGTAGGTTGGTGTATGTCTCAAATCAAAGAAATAAAATGACTCGACTAAATTACTTAACACAGGTTATCAGCAAGGCATATAAGGTTTTCTTAAGTTCCCGATTCTGGAAACACTTTGTTGCAGCATGTTACCTCGAATTGAAGCAGATCGTTTAGCATTCATTAGAAGTCATCAGTTAAAACTGAGAGCAGAAATACCGGTAATGTAAGTGAGCCTTGACGACACAAATAGAGATATATATAATTAGTTTCTAATAAGTTTTCAAACAACTCTAAGATGTAACTAAAACTATTCGAATTTAAGCTTAATGTTTTTCTGAGCATTATGTTTCATACTATGCGGCTCATTGAGCCTCACGGGTTCTCTAGTACTATACAATAATTGAAAATATGATGTCATTTTGAAAAAATTTACAAAACTACAACATAGCAGCGCATAAATTATTATTAAAAGCAACAAAGATTAACAATCCATTGATTAAATGAATGGAAAAGGCGTTCCTGTCATCCCACAATACGGCGGAGTTTGCAAAAGGTATACTAGTTTTTGCAGGCGTTGTTTCGTATGGTACTCAGCCATACATATACAATAAGTGCCGGCTATGTATAACAAGCTTTATTTTTACATTGATTTCCTTGTAAATGCAAATAACTCAATTGTTAATATAAGTGTAGTAAGAAGATTCGTTCACTTCGTTCACTCATCTATTATTACAATTAATACAATAATAGCATTCCCCAAAAATTTAAGTTGCCTTTTTAAAAATAAAACTTATTATGATATCTTCTGGCCAAAAGTTTAATTATCGTTCTGATTTTAAAATATTTATTTAACATTACAAAGTTTAAAGTAAATTATTCACCTACTATAGGAGGGTTTCGAAAAGGGTAATTAACTTCAAAAAATACAAAAGGATTTTTTTATTCTAAGAAAATAAGCAAAAACCAGATTTATTTATCTTAGTAGCAAAAATGCTATACAAATATATAGCACGGGTTACTTTTGTATTAGTCTTACTCTTATCCCATTTAAATACTATAATAATGATAGTATCAATAAACAAATGCATATTAGTTACGTAAAGGAGACTTTGTCCTGACCGCACCAGCCTAACAGATGCGTTGGCCACTGGCAACAAGGTCTACCGGCAGCAAACACGACTACATCCCCTTCACCCGTCACGGAACTGGTTCAGCTCGGACATTTCGCACCACCAATCGTAGGTCAGGTTGGTGGTCGTAGACCTTGTTGGCCGCGGACCTTGGCGCGTCCCCCTAGGCACGAGTCCGAGATCGTTTTTCACATTACTTCAGGCCTAGGGGCTGTGGCATTATCACTTAGATAAAATCCATTGGTGATTTGGCGGGATTTGAACCGGGGACCTCAGGCACTGAAGTCCCGCGCTCTAACCACTAGCCAGCTCGCTCCCCGCACAGAAAAAACAGATATAAAAATAAAAAACGAAATATAAAAGAATAAATAAAAAAATAAACAGAATAGTGAGCCTTGTGTTTATTTTTATGATTTTAATTTTATGTATATATACCTTTTGCATTTTAAAGGTGAGGTATCATATGCCCTATATGGTAACAATGTAAAATTAGCAACCTTAATGTAAAATTTTCTTATAAACCTGAATGTTTTAAGGCTATTATTCATGCTTTTATACAAAACTGGTACCAAATTATTTACTTTCAATAAAATTGTAATTCACTTTTGTGTGTGTATAAATGGCAGTAACATTTTTCTCAGGTAGATTATATTAATAAATTTTACTTCTGTGAAATAGCTTGAATCTTCAAATATATTATGTAAAATTTTCATGGTTCTATCTCTTATAGTTCCTTAAAAAAAAGGACATATGTATTACAAAAAGTCGTTTTCGGGGAAACGGACCCTCTAGTCGAGATCACTAGATTACTTATTATATTATTCATTCTGATAGCCCCTGGACTACGAATAATGACTTATATAGGCTTACCTCCGTCAGCAGTCCAAAATTGTGTCTTTTTCAACTAATGTTGTTCAAAGCTTACATGTTTCGTTGCACTGCAACATCGTCAGAGCTTTTTGTCAAAAACATCAAATGATTTATACATAAAACAAAACACGGAACACGAAACATTACGTGTTTAAATGTTTCGTGTTCCGTGTTTTGTTTTATGTATAAATCATTTGATGTTTTTGACAAAAAGCTCTGACGATGTTGCAGTGCAACGAAACATGTAAGCTTTGAACAACATTAGTTGAAAAAGACACAATTTTGGACTACTGACGGAGGTAAGCCTATATAAGTCATTACTTATTACTCAAATGTAAGGAAAAATGAACTACATCTTTAATTAAAAAGAATATTTCTAAGGTTAGGATTTTTAGGTTAGAACCATAAATAAGATGTCATTTTGTTCAGAAAGTAACAGGGTTAATTTGAAACTAAAAATAAAAAATATATATAAAAAATGTTTGCGTATGATACTCATTTAAAAGAGAACAGTACAAACCTTGGTCTTTTTACTATCTAGCCTAGTCTTTTTTGTTAGATTGCATTATTAATTGAGCTCAATGACAAAAGGATCTGATTCTGAACACGATTTCACTTTAAATTGAACCAGCGACCTTCATCACGGCCGCCTCCAGGCTGCGGTCTGGTAGAATTGATAACGTCGCAAGTAGTGTTGTGTAGCACCAGACGTCCCATAAGGCCAGGGTCACACTTACCGGCGAAACCACCGGATGCCGGATCCGGTGGCGCCGGAGCAAGTTGGGATAAACAGGAAGGCATGGGGCAGGCCACACTTCTCCGGTTCGGCGAAACTACCGATCCGGTGGGAAAATGCTCCGGCGAAACCACCGGATATCCTCTACCTCGCCGGACCGTCAGATCGGCGGTCTCGCCGGTCCAGTGGGTAGCGGGGCATTGTGCCTTATGGAGATGAACACACATACCGGCGAAACAGCCGGAACTGCGACTGCCCCCACTCCTCAGTCGTGGTTGAACCCTCAAGGGAAGTGGTGTAGTGGTTGTTCTTGATTATAGCACAGTGTCCAATTGTATTTAGTTTTGTTTTGCTATTTAGTTAATTTAGTTTTTATTTTTAGTCTGTTTATTTTTCTATACTGTATCATCATGGTAGTTATTGCACTATAATCTTCGATAGTAGCTTGTCAAATGAGGGGACAGACAATCGAAAATAATTAAAAACCCTATTTTCTTCATTTCTCAACTGTTAAAATAAAGTGTAAAAAGCTCCATTTAGCTGTCTGTTCTCCAGAATAGGATGCACTCAAACAGTTCGGTGGTGTTTTCTATTCCTTCTATGGTGGATCAAACACAGCAAGGCCAACTTTTGAGATCTTGACAGCACCATTTCTAAAACCTAAACTGTACTAGAACTGTACTAGTCTAAGACAAAACTGATTCAGAGTTGATTGCACTCTATTTATTGTCGCCGGCTCCGGCAAAATAGTTTTCACCGGAACAAGTGTGTCCTGACCCTCAACCTCCGGAGGATGGCGGACCCGCCGGATCCAGCGTCCGGCGGTTTCGCCGGTAAGTGTGTCCCTGGCCTATCAGACAAGTGGCAACGGCTCATTAATTCGCGTATTATTTATTTAAATTTATGAATATAGATTTATTCAAAGGTTGAAAATTAAACATATAGAATTGAAAACCCAAACAATATAAATTTAAAATATATCTCTGTACATTTAAAATGGAATGGAGGTAATATTTTCATAGCCTAGTAACCAAGCTATCGTATTTTGTAAAAAATACACAATACCATTATTTAGCTTCCTCCAAACAAAACAGCTGTTAATAATCAGTCATTACTAGTTCCAGTTGTTCAGTTCGTATCTAGTCAGTGCGGCCTTGGTTCAGCGGTTCAGCTCCAGCTGTTCAATGTTCAGCCATTGACTAATATGGTTCAGCTCAGACAGACCACAAACAAACTAGACCAGAGCCAGCAACCAGCAGCAGCAGCAGGGCCGGGCCGCACGATTTTTATTTCAGCTGCAGTTTTTTAATACGGACAAAATGAGAGTTTAAAAATAAGAAATTAAAAAAAATATTATTGTAGGCCTAAAACTAAAAAAAAATATATAATTATTTTTTAAATTAAACTGTCATAACCTAACCTAACTAACCAAACTTGCTGATAATGACAAAATTGAATGAAGGTTTACTAATAGAAAAAATAGTTCTGTTCATAAAATAAAACTATAAATGCCTCAAATTAAATTTTATATTTTTTAATTATAAAATTAAACTGCCATAACCTAACCAAACTAACCAAACTTGCTGATAATGAAAAAATTAAATGAAGGTTTACTAATCGAAAAAATAGTTCTGTTCATAAAATAAAACTATAAATAGCTCAAATTCAATTTTATAGGGTTTTAATTATAAAATTTAACTGTTATAACCTAACAAAACTAACCAAACTTGCTGATAATGCAAAAATCTTGAACAAAAAGTTTGTGCCCCCGATGGGTTTCGAACCTGGTACCATAAGTTTAGATGCCCGGTACGCTATCCACTAGCCTACCGAGGCCGATGGTTTCACACAGTTTCATTGCGCTAATGGTGTTCCCTCAGCCAATAGAATGCTCTCATTTTGTTCTTATTAAAATAACTGCAGCTGAAATAAAAATTGTGCGGCCGGGCCCACTCTTGGGCCGGGCCGGGCTGCTAGTTCTCACTCACTCGTTCAGTCGTTCACTTCAGTGTTCAGTTCAGTTCGGTTCGGTTCGGTTTTGGTTCAGTTATTGTTTGGTTAGTTAGTACTTTGTTTGGTTTGGTTTAATGGTTTTTTGGTTGTTGAGTTGTTGTAAAGTTGTAATTAATTCAATTGTCGTTGATATCAGTTGTTAACATCAAACTTATTTTGGATTTCAAGCTCTCAATCAATTTAAAATCGTTGTCTTTCATTCTTCGAAAATATTTAGGCTATAGTTTGAACTTCATTGGCTTGTACTTAATTTAGGGTTTAAGCATTTGTCTATTTTTAGAAGTGGAACTTGTAGGTGTTGACTGTTAGGCCTAGCCCGTGTTGTATCAGTATCGTATCGTCGACCCTAGTAAGCATCATGAGTACTTTCACAGCTGTTAGAGAGGTAATGAAAATGCACATTTGGTCTCAAGAAACAATTGCTCGAGTTTTCCTTAATCCTTAACAAATTGTGTAAGACTAACCTAGCAATTTAATGTTTTAAACCTACTTCTTCCACCGAATTCCTCCTCCCCTCCATCAAAACCATTTATTACCATGTGGGCCTAACCAATTAAACGATTGCCCCTACCCTACCCCTTAACAAATTGTAAATTATCAAGACTAAGTTAAACAAGCAATGCTATAAATTTTATGTATTAACCTACTCTGTCCTCCAAGTTCCCTCCATTTATTTATTACCATAGGCCTACCCTCGGTATTTGTTTACTTTAGGGGCTTCTAACGAATTTTGAAAAAAATGTTTTTTTCTCATTATTTGGACTATTTTGAACACTTTTTACATTTGGCACTTTTGGGGCAAACGACTATTTCACCCTGAAAATCGCGTTTGAAAATTGCAAAAAGTGCTAAAAATTTGCGTAGTTTTTTTACTTTTAATGTGTCTTTACTATTACTAAGGACCTACAGAACTAAATATAATCCAACCTAACTTTATCTAATCTAACCTAACCTAACCTAACCTAACCTAACCTAACCTAACTTAACCTAACCTAACCCAACCCTACCTAACCAATGCTTAGGTTAGCAATATGCCGAAAATAGCGCATTATTAGTTAAACCAAGGTTAGGTTACGTTAGGTTAGGTTAGGTTAGGTTAGGTTAGGTTAGGTTAGTTAAGGTTAGGTAAGGTATGGCTAGTTATTAAGTTATTATTTAAATTAATTAGCCTAAAATCACCTGAATATTTTAAATATTACCTAACCTAACCTAACTTAACCTTACGTAAACTAACCTAACTATATTTAAACTAACCCAACCTAACCTAACTTAACCTAACCTAACCCAATCCTACCTAACCTAACCCAACCCTACCTAACCAATGCTTAGGTTAGCAATATGCCGAAAATAGCGGATTTTGAGTTAAACCAAGGTTAGGTTAGGTTAGGTTAGGTTAGGTTAGGTTAGTTTAAATAATCATCTGCTTATTACTACAATAATAAAAAGACTTTTAAAAAAAGGCAAGGGGGGAAAACCTGATTTTCTAAGTAAAAATGGCAATTGCAGAAAAATTTTCGCGATTTTCAAACGTGATTTTCAAGGTGAAATAGGCGTTTGCCCCAAAAGTGTCAAATGTAAAAAGTGTTCAAAATAGTCCAAATAATGAGAAAAAAACATTTTTTTCAAAATTCGTTAGAAGCCCCTAAAGTAAACAAATACCCTACCCTCTTATCTCCTAACTTGTTAAATTAAATTTGGGTGGATACAATTTTGGGTAAGTTACAGGTGGGCGGGGTAGGACTACCATTTAACTTGACAGGATCTTTCTAGGATGTTATTATTTTGCATTTAAAAACACATTAAAGGTCAAAATACATGGTGTCTAAAATGTCCCGGGTCGGTTAACTTAAGTTATGCCTATATATTATTTGAAATATTTTAAAAGTAGGTAGAGCTACAAAACTTTGCACAAACTTACTGGACATATAAAAATCTATTTCATCACACAACTTAAGTTATTCAGTGATAGGGCCTACGCTAATTTCTCAGGGGGGCGGCCCGCTAGGAGTCGGAAGAAAATCTTAAAAGTATTTTGAGCAAAAATTTGAAGCTTTTATACTTTACGTTTCAATTAAAAAAAAACCCTGCTGCAACAAACCTGCTGACTAAGTTAATTTCTATCAAGCCTGATTGGAGTTTCACTGAAATATTTGCCTACGCCTGTAAGAATTATTACCTATTTAAATAACATTAGGTTTGTTTAAAGACTACTTAGGTTTGCTAATACAGGGAGGGTAATAAAGTGTATTATTTAGTAAAATGTTAATAGTGAACCACGCCCCTGCACCCAGGCGAACTAACAGCTGGAAGTGCGCCCACACGGAGACAATGGAGGGGCAGCACACAACATTACCAACACACAAAGAAAGCCGTGGAGGAAAGCTCAAAGAAATTGAAACAATTATTTTATTATTTGAAAAATTATTCAAAAACTATTATTATTATATTTTTTTATTAGGCTACACTGAGACAAAAGAAATATTTTGAGCATAACTTACAGAGACATTTGGAACATCTCTTCTGCCACAAGTTTGTCTAAAGCAAATGTTTTAATTCAATCCAGAGACAACATTATTTAGCTCATACCTTCCCTTTAGTTTACTAGGTTTATTTCACTCTGGACTTACCATAAATAAATTAACTATTCCTACTCAAAAGACTAGTCAGAACAATGAACATCACAATAGCCTAAATTTAGAGGGGGCTCCAGTAAAAAAAAATGTAGCTATCATTTTAAAAGTTTTAATTGTATAATTTAGGTTCTAGAGCAAAATATAATATCACAGTTCTTATCATTCTTGCTATTTGCAACGACTACAATATTGAAAAAATTATCTTGGCGAGTGCCGGTGATTGGTGCTGGGTTGATGCTGGGGTGCTACGTCTGGGCAGTGGACACTTTCATAGACACTTTTAATGTCTTCTGATGCCGAGGGCACATTTCAGCCTGGACAGAGCGTAATGGTGTTCACAAAAGCCCACCAAACTTCCGGGCAGGGAGGGTACTTAAGTGTGTTTTAAAGTAAAATTTTAATAGCTTAATATTATCATAGACAAAAAGAATTAAATATAGACCGTCAGTTGTGCTGCGGTTACCATAAGTTCTGGCGCACACCGCTGGTAGCGCCATGTAGTTACGGCATACACGCTACGTAAACTACACGACGCTCCCAGCGGTGTGCGCCAAAACCTATGGTAACCGCAGCACGGCTGACAGTCTATATTTAATTCAGACAGTTAATAATTAATTTTTTGTAAAATGTTAATAGTTTAGTATTAAAATAATGCATTTTCCATATTTGATCAAAATATATTCTTAAACAAGCAAGCTACAACAGTTTACTTATCCCCCATTATAAGAATAACATGTGAATTTAAATTGACAGTTATTTGAATTTTCTCCGTAACCAATAACCGTATAAAACATATACTAAATTATTCAAAGGCCTACCTAAATTATTTGTTTTTTTAAGCTCTTAAAAATGGTTTAGTGATCATGGGAAATTTTATTTTTTAAAGTTAAATACCCCCGCCTCAACAAACCTGCAGACTAAGTTAATTTCCATTTTCCTTAATGGATTTACACTAAAATGCCTCCTTAAAAATATCACATATTTATTCCCTATTTATTTATTTTTTATTTATTTATTTCTTTTATTACAATGCTGCAAAACAGGATAAACCCAGTTACATTGTAGCATTAATATTCGAACAACAAAATGCTATTAGACATGCATTATAAATAATAAATATGGTAAAAGTTCATCTTGCTGAAGAAATTATAATTATTAGTGTAATCACTCACAACAATACAATATATGACAAAAACAAACTAATATCAATAAATAACATACAAATAAATATCTTAAAAAATAACATTGGCAATTATTTAAATATCTATAACAACAATAACGAATTAAATAAATAAAATCCAACAACAAAGTCTGAACAGAGTAATTAATTTAATAACAATAATTATTTGGGGTAATTAAATATCTAAAAACGTATTTCCTGAACGTACTGTGACAGTTAAAAAATATGTCTATTTGGTCGTTATTAATTGTGTTGAACAGCCTAACCATTGAGTTGAGCGGCGAACACATTCCAAGGTTCGTTCTAGAGAAGTGGGGGGAGAAGAGCAAATGCGAATGTGAATTGTGTCTGGGCAACGTGAACCGCACACGGGACAGCAGCACCGCGTCGTCGAGCTCACCACACACCAACCGCCTCAGATACAACATCATTGACACTTTACGCCTATTACTCAACTGATCGATTTCAAACAGTGTGAGAAATTCTGAGTATGGGACCAGCGTCGTATAGTAAGCAAATGTTTTGTAGTAAAGAAATCTCAAGAACCTTCTTTGGACATCCTCTATGAGATCGGATAAATAGTTCACACTAGGATACCATACCACAGAAGCATATTCTAATCTTGACCTGACCAGTGAACAATATAACAGTTTAATACTTCTCTGATTAGTAAAAATGTTGCCTAACCTGCAGATTAGACCAACAATTGAGAAGGCAGTCTTACAAATCGAAATCACATGATCATTATATGTAAATCTGGAATCAAATGTCACACCCAAGTCTTTAATTGAAGTTTTCCTCGAAAGAAGACTACCCCCAATATTATAATTATGCATGATGAGGTTACTAGGGGTTTTCTTTGAATATGTTACAACAGAACATTTATCCACATGAAATTTTAGATTGTCACAACTCCAAAGAAACAATCGATCGATATCATCTTGTAGCATAACACAATCTTGTTGGTTGTTGACAATAGTGAATATTTTGAGATCGTCAGCATATAGAAGAAACTCACAGTTTATTATCAAATCTTTTAAGCTATCAATGTACAAAATAAATAGCAAAGGTCCCAAATTTGAGCCCTGGGGCACACCTCAGTCTACATCAAATTGTTCTCATAGGTGTCCCTCAAAAGACACGAAAGATTTAAATAGAATAAGTTTAACGAGTACTTAGGTTTGCTGCAACAGGGAGGGTAAAAAAGTGTTTTTTGTTGTAAAATGTTAGGCCTAATATTTTAGTAAGGAATGGATGTATTTATTTTCCAAATTTTATCAAAATATGTTCATAAACAAGCAAACTACAAGAGTTAGCTTATTCTCCATAAGAATAACATAGGAATTTCAAAATTACAATTTTTTGGAATTTTCTCTGTAACCATTAGGCACATAGTAACACTTCAATATACTAAATTATTTGTTTTTTAAAACTACAAAATGGTTTGGAAAGAATTTGTCAAATTTTGCGTTTTTAAAGCGAAAAATGGGAAAACCCTATTTTTACCCCATAAACCCCCCCCCCCCCATAATCCCCCGTTCCCATAGACCGATCATGCTGGTTAGCGAACTCATTCGAATAAATGTAGGTTTACACGTTAAAACAAAATTTCATCAAAATCGGATCATTTTTGCTCGATTTGTCGTTTTAACGGACACATATATATATATATGAATTTCAACGGATGGTGTTTTTGACCTCGGGACCTCAAAACGAAAAATTAAATCGATCTTGGGTCCAGGTCTTACTATGAGACCTACGGTAATAATAGCTTTATTCCCTATATGGGAAATTCGCTAAAAAGGAGAAAAACCTATTTTTACACTATATAACCCGCCCCCATCCATGGTCCCATAACGCTGGTTCACTAACTCGTTAGAATAAATGTAGGTTTACATGTTTGTACCAAATTTCATCCAAAACAGATCATTTTTGCTTCAGTTATCATGCCAACGGACACATATAGGTGTGAACAATTTAATTTTGAAGTGAAAACTCATTTTGTGAATTTAAATAACTTTGTTAACTATAGTTCGGCCGCTTAGAAAACGACCTGCGCGCTAATGCTAAACCAATGCTGGAGGAGGTCGCTTTCTAAGAGGCTGAACTATAGAATAGTTTTGTTTACTTGTCCAATTAATTTTAGATTATTGCAAAGGATGACTTATAAAATTCAAATATAGGCAGGTCTTTTTAATTGTACCTAATCATATAATTAACTCACTCTTATGATACATTTACGTTAGTTCTTATCTTACCGTATGCTGGAATTGCTTGGAAACAGTGAACCATCGTCAAGTATTTATACCATAACTGCTGATCCCATCATCATCCCACTTTTAAAGTGTAGGCTGGATTACGTTCTTTAAAATGTGTAATTTTCAAAACTTTAAAAAAACACTACCTATCTTAAAAACCTCTTTGAAAACATATTTTAAAATAATAAAAAAAATATTAATTTTACGAAAGAATGTTGATTTTGGTACCATATCAGATTAAAGGCATTTAAATACTCGTTATAATGTGCCGTTGTACATCCTGATATGATCAATAGAACTCATCCTTGTCAATATTTTAGATTGGCACACACGCTACAAAACGCCAATTTTTATCATTTTAAAATATTTATATTGTAAAAACTGTGAAAGATAGATTAAAAACATATTTGGATTCAAGACTCAAAATACTACTAGTAAGCCTATGCAAAATTTCATAAAAATCCAAGATGGTCAGGCTTTCAGTAATAGTGAACAAGTAACAAGACAACAATAATGACCCTATATTTATTATTAAAGTAGTAAACTAAACACAACTTAGCATCCTGACATTATTATATTTTCATAGACGTAACATGTTTCAGACAAGAGTCTATTTTCAAACTTCATTAATAGTGTTAACTTTTTGTTTACATTATATTTGTTTTGTGTTTGAATATAATATTAGTTAGGCCTATTAAATATGATTTTTTTTTTAGAAAGGATTTGGAAAATATTGTTTTCTATTGATTATTTAATTGTAAAATGTTGTTGAAAATGATTTTCTCAAAGGAATTTGGCTATCTAAAATATGATATGGATTGTTCAGGTTTTTCGTTATTCCATCAACATGGAATTTAATATGAAATATTCTTCAGTTGAATCCATTCGGTCCGAAACAAGCTACTTAGATCTACCGGTACTATAAAAATATAATAATGTCTGGGTCCTCAGTTGTGTTTAATATATTATTTTAATATATCAGCTGTCTCTTTAGTGAACACCAAAATCAAAATATATACTATATGAATTTGAACAAATGGGGTTTTTGGTTTCTGGGGACATCAAAATGATAGTGTAAATCGGTCCCGGGTCCAGGTCTTACCATCAGACCTACGGTAATACCTTATTCCCCATATAAGAAATTTGATAAAACATGAGATGTGATGTCTTGTGATTGGATATTGTCACTGCTCACAATTGGCCCAAACAGTTCTAAACAAAATGTTTAATGTTGGGTATAAAAGTTTGGGATTGCCTTTTCTATTCAGTTGTTCAACGTTTCCTGGTCGTAAAATTTGTCAGACTTTTGTACAAGTGCAAAGTTGAGTTCTCTGTTCATTATGCCTTTTCTTTTCACAAAGACTTTTGAATGAGGATTAGCTGAAAGGTGTAAATATAATAATCCATAAATAAGAAGGAAATTATAGCCAAATCCAGGTGTCTGAAGTACTGCAGATAAGTTGCACCATATCTTCCAAACAGTAGCCTACTGTAGGCCTACAGTCAATAAAGGGAAAGGAGTTGGTACTATCTACACCCTACAGCAGCAGAAGTTGTTTAGTAAATTTTGAGTATTTATCACAAATCCATCCTAACTATTTTCTGTTATCGCGGCACTAACACAATCATCTCAATGACCATGGTGACTTCGTCATCATCTTCTGCGTCTGTGGTAACATCACGTAAATCTACATGTCGTAATTTGAAAATTTGCTTGGATCACGGTATTACAATGTTATTTGCTCCCAAAAAAGGTAAAAAAATTATTCAAATCTACACGTAAATTTGCATTTAAAATTCTTAGTTTAAAACTAAAAGAAGTCAATAACGTTAAACAGTGAATTTTCTGAAAATATTTCAATGTTCAGTTCTGCCTCTTTTAACAAACTCGGTACGGTACTATTCTTGTGCTCGGTACATTCCAATATAAAAAAATTACGAGTCTCAATTTAAAAAATGTTTGGTGTGACCCATAATGTTCCTGCGACCCACCCATAGTTTGGGAACCTCTGCTCTACAGTATACATCCACAGAAAAATAACACTAGTACCTACCCAACTATCCAGAGACAGAGTAGTATGCTATGGAAGGTTGGATAGTTGAGACTGCTGCCTAAAAAAAGTAGTAAACTACATAAAATTAAGATAGTCCTAAATATATTTACTATCTATATCTAGTATAATCTCATTTGTGTGAATGTATTTTGGAAAGTGTATATGATCTACCTCTGCTCATAAGTTCATAATTGGTTGTGACAAATTTTCCTCTCTTTTCAGCAGCTTGGGGACAGGTTCCAGAACTACAACTTGGAAGTCTTCAAAGAACCTAGAGGAATAATAAGAATCCTCCAGCTGGTCAGTTAATTAACATTTCCATAGTTAGTAGGTCTTTTTTAAAAGAAAACAAATATATGCTAGACACGTAACTGTTTGAAAACATTGTATAAAATTCCTATGTTATTTTTATGTATTTTGATTTATAAAAATAACAGTAGTACCGCAAGTATTTGGATATATTATTCATAAAAATAACTTGGGAATTCTAAATTTAGGCCAATTCATATTTAGGATTTTTGCTGAAACCGTTAGGCATACAACAATGCTTCAATACACAAAATTATTTCCTTTTTTAAGCGTGAAATTTTATACTTACACGATGAAAAATGAGAAAATCCCATTTTTACTCTCTGCGCTCTGCATTGTAAACTTCCATCATTTGTAGAAATATGCAAGTGTGAAGTTCTGTATTGAGAGAATGTAGATTCTGATAATGTCACTCTCTAACTCTCTGAAAAGAGTGTTTGTTTTGGCTCTTGCAACAAAACCTTTCTGTGATTTCCCTTTATGATTTTTTGATTCTTCTATCAAATAAGTTGTAATAATTTAAACTTGATATTTTTTGTATAATTTCAGGTATTATGTATCTTACTTTAAATTTGCCTTTAGGTTTTTAATTGTTTGTGATTATATAAAAACCTATTTATTTACCACAGGCTTCCTACAAATGAAACTTGTCTATATCTTGTTCAGAAGTAGCCTACTTTCCTTAGATTTTATTGACAGTAAAGTATGGTTATGTAAAAAATGAATGCTTTGTGATAAGCTACTTTGACATAAAACAGGAATGCATTGTTCAAGCTTTAAGTTTCATTATCAATTGTGTTGCGTTTGTACTTTCTAGAATTTTTATTACTTCCTAATCTGTTTTTAAATAAAGCCCAGGTTTCGTTAGAGATGTTAACACAAATCTTATTTAAGTTATTATGTTATTATAAATGAGAATGGACAAAGGATTGAGTTGTCCAAAGCTTAAAGGGAATCTTATCATTCAGCTGCCGTTGCTTTTGTACTAGTTTTACAGGATTTTTTTCAGCTGAATAAAGTTACTCAGATTTACCAATAGTAATTTTGTATAGATTATCAGTTGTGTTTGAGTTAATTATTTTTTTCACTAGATAAAAATGAGGCACATAAAATATCACCACTTAATTTTCTTACAGAAAGAAATAGCAAATATTTACTACTTATTTTACTTTTTCAATTTAGATCTGATTTAAGTGTTCTGGGACCAGTTTCATCACAAACTACAAGTTACAAATTGTTACTTGTAACTTAACTTGTGATTTCCATTAGATTTACTAATAATATTAATTTGTAGTTTATTATAAAACAGGCCCTGCTGTCTTTTATTTGCATGGATAAAGCTATATCAGTAGCTATTAGGTTTTAAAATATAGTTGACTATTTTTCAAAATAAAGTATGATATAAACTGTTTTGTTTTCCATTTTAGCATAATACAGTGTGTAAATTAAGTCTGGCACACATTTTTTATCTTTTTTTCTATAGTAGATAGAAGAAATCAATTTGCGGGACTGATTAATAACAAATGTTCGGCACTTTTTACAAATTTTGAAAATAAAAATTCCCTTAAGGGTAAGGGGGGGTGGGGGGTAACTAAAAATTTTCAAACGACAACCCCCATCTTGTGACCCCTCATTTTAAAGGTCATTGAAAGACAAATCCAAAGATGTGTCTGAAAAAAAATTCTTTGCACCCTATCCAAGATGGCAGTTTAAAATGTACTTAGGGTTGAACGGGTAAATTAGGTATGGCACACATTTCTTATCTTTTTTACTCTTTGTAGATAGAAGGAATTAATTTGTGGGACTGAGTAAGAACAAATGTTTGGCACTTTTTCATCATTTTGAAAAAGATTCCCCTTATGGGTAAGGTGGGGGTGTAGGGTAACTAAAAATTTTCAAATGACAACCCCCAGGATGCAAAAAAAAATGTTCAGATACATCGTTAAATTTGTCTTCCAAATACCTTTAAAATGAGGGGTCACAAGATGGGGGTTGTCTTTTGAAAATGTTTAGTTACCCCCCACCCCCACCTTACCCTTAAGGGGAATTTTTTTTCAAAATGATGAAAAAGTGCCAAACATTTGTTCTTACTCAGTCCCGCAAATTAATTCCTTCTATGTACAAAGAGTAAAAAAGATAAGAAATGTGTGCCATACCTAATTTACCCGTTCAACCCTAAGTACATTTTAAACCGCCATCTTGGATAGGGTGCAAAAAAATTTTTTTCAGAAACATCTTTGGATTTGTCTTCCAATGACCTTTAAAATGAGGGGTCACAAGATGGGGGTTGTCATTTGAAAATTTTTAGTTACCCCCCACCCCCACCTAACCCTTAAGGGGAATTTTTTTTCAAAATGATGAAAAAGTGCCTAACATTTGTTATTAATCAATCCCGCAAATTGATTTCTTCTATCTACTATAGAAAAAAAGATAAAAAATGTGTGCCAGACTTAATTTACACACTGTATAGAACATTAAGTCATGCTATCCTCTTATGGTCGAATGTTTTTGCAAACTTTTTTATAAGGCTGTTTAAAATGATGGAATATTCTTTTACAAAGTCACTTTGGTTTAAAGTAATCAAATCGACACATTTTATGCCTACAAAATTTGGTAATGAGTGTAACAAGTGAATCAAAATATTTTACCTCTTTCAAAAGGCTGTTTACAAATTTGAGCTGTTGGCTTTCCAAAGACAAATCCAAGGCTTGTGGGGACTAGCTGGGCACCGGAAATGTATCACCATAAACTTTAATAGCCCAGGTGGCTGGTACTAACTTACAATGGCACCATTTCTATGAATAGTAGATAGTCATACGTTATAATTTTAGCATTGCCATTATTGGTCTGCAAATCATGTAGCCCCCTCCTGGGTAAAGTAGGTAGCGATTTCAAGCTCCGTCATTCGTCAAGTCATCGTAAACCGAGGTACAGTTCCAATTTTGTTAGCTGTTCAAGAATGATTTCGAGATTGGCTGTTGTGAGATTTTTGATATTTGTAAGTAATTTATCTAACGTTATGTATTGAAGGTGTTTTAACAAAACTAGTAATATAGTTTTTTTTTTATTATTGCAATTTTATAAATTTTGTATGTTGTATGATTTTGATTTTAAAGGAATTCTACCAGATTTTATCGTTTAAACTGAAGATATTAAATTATAAAGTTATTACACAATTCTAAGGGTTGTATAAAAACAATTCAACTGTCTCAGAAAGTATTAATGCTCTGATAAAAATAAAATACAGGGTGGCTGAAAAGTAACTTACACCCCCCTTAACTTTTCAACCATTTGAGATATTTGAAATCTGTTTGTGGCAACCTTCTTAGATACGAGGGGCTACTATGGTCAATTTTGAAAATTTTGCCCCTTAGGGGTAGTGGAGGTCCGGTAGCTCAACATTTTCAAATGACAAGTATAGTCAAGTTTGGTATCATTTTACAGGTCTTGACGAAACATAAAAATTGACATAAAGAAAACCAAAATCGGCCCACTAATAACAAAATAGCGCCCTAAAACGTTTCAAATCCAAATAAGCATGAGGGTGGCTGAAAATTAACTTGCACCCCCTTTTACATTGTAACTAATTGAGATATTTGAAATCGGTTTGCGGCAACTTGTTTGGATATGAAGGGCTACAATTAATTATGGTCAGTTTTGAAAATTTTTGCCCTGGGGGTAGTGGGGATAGCTCAAAATGTTCAAATAGCAAGTATAGTCGAGATTGGTATCATTTTGCAGGTCTTGACGAAACAACAATTCGCATAAAGAAAATAGAAATCGGACCATTAATAACAAAATGGCAGTTCAAGATTACTTTTAATAACCATTGTCTTAATCATCGGCCATCTAAAGTTCTCAAGCAGCAATTACGTACTTCAGGATCATGAGCTCAGTCACTTTGATACCTCCAAGCGTCAACTGTTTTAGGCAACATAACCTAACAATAACAAGTTATAACATAACCTAACGGCTATCTCTCCCACCCTTCTGAATATTCGTCTCTTGGTTTCAGGTCTACCACCCTGAGAGGGATCGATTAGGTTTTTTTTAGATATTGGTAGTCTCTCATATTTAATCTTGCATTTGCTTGTCCAAATATTCTTTGGGCCTGTGTGTGGATGCATTATGTAGGGGTGAGCCGGTAAGAGTAAACTATATTCATAAAAGTGGATGCACTGTTGCTGTGGTACACAAATCCACAACATGGTTTCCTGCGATTTGTAGTCCGTCGCGCTAACAAGTGAGTCGCTGACTCACCACTTAAATTTATGATCCTCTGTAATAAAGGTTGACCATGTCTATTGTGCATTTTCTTTTTTTTATGTTTCTTTTTGTCTGCTAAAGCTGACCTTGGGCCATTTTCAGCCAATACTTTTTAGATAGAATATTTGAATGAATAATTACAAAACTCATCAAACTGCACTTCATTGTATCCATAACCGCCATAACACTTTTTACATATTTTACTATTTGTTCCCAGGTGTTTTCACTTTTGACACTGTGGATTTTGAGATCTTACGAAGGTGTAATCGATATTAAGTACTGCGATGAAAGCAATCCTTCACATGCAGTATTCCCTGTTGAATATCCGTTTGAGTAAGTATTCTACAAGTAACCTAACAAAACTCTATTGTTGTCCTTTATATGTCTTTTTGTTGTATCTAAGTTTTATTCCTAATATATGTTCCTAATATACTTCCCCTATAGAAGTTTTTGATCAACTGATTGGATTAGCAATCAAATAATTGTTTGATTTGAATAAAATTATTTTCAGCTACCATTATAACAGTGTACCTATGTAACGTGGGAAACCCATAAATGATAAATATCCAGCTCAACAAACATATGCAATAAATCCTTGATAGGACAAATAAGTGTCCCAAGTCTTCTGGATCAAATTTAAAATCTTAATATTAATTAAGGAAATGCTGTTCCAGAACCAACATGCATGTACTTCATCATTACTCCATAATAAGTTATGGGTTAGAACTAGCTTAAAGTAGACATGAAACCATAAAATTGTTAACCATTGGGAATATTGGGATCATTTTCTGTTAGCGCATCTAGCAGTACCGGTAGTGGAAAGTAGTGGGGATGATACTTCACCAGATTTGTTTTTAAGAGATTGGTGGCCTCTTTTACCTTTTGTTTGTCCGTCTATACAGGGTGATTGATATAAGTGTGCCAGCCGTTTTATTCGAAAACGATAAGAGATATCAAAAAAAGTTAAATGGTAAGTGCCTTGGACTTTTTATCAAAAAAATTGTAGTGAATTCAAAAAAATTATCTTAGTTGCCATTTTTCCAATATGACCGCCAACTTTGATTTTTCTTATAGAACACCCTGTATTTTATGATGTATTCTGGTAGAAAATGTAATTTTAAGACGATTTTATTCTTGTGATTTTTTTCATAAACCTAACCGTTTCAAAGATAATAATGGTTTAAGTTGTGAAATTTTGAATGGTTTGCGAATAAAACAGCTGGCATGCTTGCTTAGGCCTTTATCGTAACTCTTTCTCATGCAGAAATTTCAAAACTTTAACCATTATTATCTTTGAAACGGTTAGGTTTATGAAAAAATTACAAGAATAAAATCGTCTTACAATTACATTTTCTACCAGAATACATCATAAAATACAGGGTGTTCCATAAGAAAAATCAAAGTTGGCGGCCATATTGGAAAAATGGCGGCTAAAATAATTTTTTCGACTTGACTGCAATTTTTTAAATAAAAAATCCAAGGCACTTACCATTTAACTTTTTTTGATATCTCTTATAGTTTTCGAATAAAACCGCTGGCACACTTATATCAATCACCCTGTATAGGCAACAGAGATTTTGAAGAGCCTTTCTTCATTCTCCAGTCTATTTGTCATCTCTCACCTCATCCTCCTATCACTGAGGTTACATAACTCTGACTGTATGTAGAATAATTGTTGCAAAAATTGCCGTTACATATTCAGAGCAGGGGAAGTGTGGTGGGGAAAGTAATCTCTCACACTACTCTTAATCTTTACCGAAGTAAGTTAACCACTCTTCCACCATCGAAGATCCCTCCAACTTTCCATTCCTCCCTATCAAAATTATCCCTTTTCTTTGCTTAATTTCACCCTCTCTCCCTCCCTAATTAGTTCAACTCTTAAATCCAACTCATTTTGCAGCGATTCAGAATCCATCTATCTCTTGAATTGAATGTGCCAAACCAGTTGATAAAATCATCACAAGAACATCAAACTGTACAGCTGAAACTCCTTATTCACATGTATTTTACTTTTTAGTCTGAGCAGCTTATCCCAGACAGTATCCTGCAAAAACAAAACCAACATCATCATTTCCCTGAACAACAATTTCTCGAGTGAAGCTGAGTTCCTGTTCACAATCTGCTGGGTTTCCATTGTCTTCGTGTTGGTCATAGCAGCAATCTATGTGAAGTACGGGGAGACCTATGAGAGCAACGGAAATCTAGCTCTAGTTGTAAGTAGAGAGTTTTTATAACCTTAAACTGGATCCATCAAATCCAATAAATTTTTATCGGTTTCAACCATCTTAGTTACAGTCAAAATAGATTCACCTGTCAGAAATGAATAATTTGGTATCCTCTAAGAATAATATTCGAAAATATTTTTACCTGTACAATCGTTACAATCTGTTAAGCTGGGTTTTCCTAGACGCGGAGTCGGCCAGCGGAGAGCGGACAACGGAGAGCGGACTCAGCTTGTCTTAGGTAATTTAATGTTACTGTTTTCCTAGCAGCGGAGCGGAATGCCATGTTAATTTCAATTCCGCTCTCCGTTGTCCGCTCTCCGCTGGCCGACTCCGCGTCTAGGAAAACCCAGCTTAACAAATAACTCAATCTTGCTTGTGTGCAATTATAATCAAAATCTTAAAATGGGACTATTTTATTAATCAAATTTTATAAAGTAATGAGTTAAATAATATATTTTATAGCAACTTAAATCTGTTCATTATTTTAATGGAATCCCCTAGTGAAGTTTAATTGAATGTAAATTTGGTTCACTTCGTAAAATTGATTTTGAGAACTGTTTGTTGAGTTATATACTTTTATGTGTCATGTCTAAAGAGTCAACAAGTAAAATACAGCGTTTAATCAATACAATTTGTGATTCTGTTATATTAAAAAAGAAATCTTTATTAAGGAAGAGTCATCAAAATTTGTTATACTTGTGTGGTGCAAAATTTTAAGGGGGTTAAAATATACCGTGAGTATACAAATATCAGCACTTACCCATTTACATCCTCAATAGCCTACACCTAGGTCTATGTGTTAGTTATAGTTTAGTTTTGGGCTATGTGAAAAGAAACGTAGGCCAAGGCTCAAACACAATAAAGTATATAAACACAAATACAACATATTTATTTATAATAACGCTCCAAACTGACAAGATCCCTCTCGACTTTGATAGGATCAACACCATTTTACAACTAAATGTTTAACACCAACATAACCCCCAACACTGGTGTTTGTTGTTGGCCATGACGTTTAGACCATCAGACAAATTTTTGATCAGCAGTTGCCTAGTACTTAAATTTCCCTCAAATAGCTGTACAATATGAAGGACAAAATTATTCACTTGTCTGCCGTGATCAGAGAAAGTATGCTCTTATACACTGCTGTTGTTCTTTATTCTGAAGGTTAGCTACTATAGTTAGTTAATCCTATTTTTTTAGATTTACTATTTTTTTTTTTTTTTTTTACTATCCGCCACTATTTTTGTCTCAAACTCAATCTTATATATCTAAATTTTACCAGGCAAATTTCTCCGACTTTATTCTAGACCCGCCAGAGACTAGTAGTGGCTATCATTTAGTTTCGTGTAAATTAATCCATTTTAAATTGCAACCTTTCCGATAACCTAAAAATTTTAATGTTGATACATTCACGTTAATTTATTGTAAAATGAGGCATTTAACGATTTTGAGGTCGCTCATTCACGATTTTTCATTAGTAAAATGAGGCAAACCTGACTAGCTTAGTTTTGATCAACATATTTTTACAACTAAAAATCGTGATATTTCAGTTATTTTTTATTCAATCTTTTTGAACTTGGGTGTCGTTTGATGGCAAATTTTAAATGCTAAATAAAAGTGTTCTAGACATTTTTTCATAAAATTAGCCATGTTTTAGCAATTTTAATTTAAAAGATTAAAATGGCCTCCATTTTGAAATTTGTAATTGAATTAGGATAATTTTTTTTTACGTGGGTCTGTTTTACCTAAACATACATACCAAGATTCATAATGATCAGTTGAAAAAACGTGTTTTTCTAAAAAAAAAGAAAATGACGAATATCTGATTAACAAAGCGATAAAAAAATTTTATTCTTGATTTTTTCTTTATTTTGACCCATAGAACCATTTCCCAGAGTTTAGCTGTTTACTTACGGGACACCCTGTATATGTGTGTATGCGTTAACACGAGTAAAATTGATCCGATTTTGATTAAATTTGGTACAAACGTGTAAACCTACGTCTATTCTAACGAGTTCGCAAACCAGCACTATTGGACTATGGAATCAGGGTGGGGGGGGATTCATATAGTGGAAGTTGATTTTCCCCAAAAAAAAAATAATTTCAATATTTTCCCAAATTATTTTGTGGAGTTATAAAAGCAAACGATTCAGTACATTGAAGCGTTGTTGTATGCCTAACGGTTAGGGAGAAAATTCCAAAAAAAGTGACAATTAAAAATCCCTATGTTTTTTCACGGAGAATAAATAAACTGTTGTATTAGATGGCTACAGCATACCTAAGTACTCATTACAATTAATGTTATTTAAGTAAGAAATAAATCTGACAATATTAAGGGGATATTTCAGTGAAAATCTAGCCTGGTAAATGGAAATTTTCTCATTCTGTATGCTTTCTGCAGCAGGGGTAGGCCTATTTATTATTTAGTATCGGTGAAATATAAAAATAACTTGTCTGTTACAGGATTTTATCTTGTCAGTGATCTTGGCAGTGCTGTGGGTAGCATGTTTGGGAGCTTGGGGCTATGGCCAGAGTCAACTGAAGGCTCTAACTACTCCGAAGTTCTTGAAAGAAAATCTACATTATTGCCAGGACAAGTTCTTCGATTACATCAACTGCATAGAAATCACACGTGGCAGTGTACTTGGCCTTACTACAACTCTTGTAAGATCCTTATGTTCAATCATAGATTTGATATTTATCACAGAAATACAACTACAAATATAAATTTCCTTTCATTATGATTCTTATTAATAAAAAAAACTTATGATGTCTATTCAGGTACTTATCACATATACAAATTTTAGTATCATTATCATTCTTCATTCTTATTATTATGTCACCATTCTCATTTATAAGAAGTTCTCTTATGATTGTGGAGTGTAGATCCCTTGATGATTCTGGGAACTGCATTCACGATCTGTTAGGTTATTTTGCATTCCAGGATTTATCTGATTACCATGATAAAAACAAATTTCTTTGTGAATCTAATGTTTATTAACAATTATTGGTTTCATAGGTTCATTGGTTTATTTTCCGGGACCACATATGACAATATGCTAACACAAGTAAAATAAAAAAAATAACTTCTTATAATCTTAATTATCATTACACACTCAAGTTGTATTTTATTATGTTACAATTATTATGTTTACAATGTTTTCTAACCTTGAAGATTGGGTATGCAAAGATTTAGTTCTTTTTTATTAATTTTTGTTTGAACTCACATTTTTGTTTCAGATTCTCTCATTCTTAAATTTCTTCCTTTGGGCAGCTGGTTTGTGGTTCCTCTACAAAGAAACACCATGGTACTTGAATTTCCAACGTACTTAATTACATCACTGTTCCTACATCTTCATCAAAGTCAGTAAGATCAGTATTTTGATGTGACTTAAAGATCAACATTTTACACAAGCATAAAACATCCCTTTACAGTTAGTTTGTATAAAATTCAAGGACAGACTTTTGGTTAATTTTTTGCTTGGCTTATTAAAAGTTCTACTTGCTTTAATATGGCCTTAGCTAGGCTGTGACTTGGTAGTCATTAGGAATGCCAAAAGTTAAGATAAAACAGAACTTAGCAACAAGCAAAAGTCATCTTACATTAAAAAAGTCATTGTAATAACTTAAATATATTTTTTTTTGTAATTTTTTTGATAGAACATTCAAATTTTCAACAGGTATTTCATAATCCCAGTAAATTTGGAAAATGTATCTGCAAAATTGTCTTATTCTAATAATAAATTCCGTTGGAACTGATACTCAATTTAAATCTCAAATAAACATATGTTTGGCAGTTAACTGTAAAGGGGTTCAGTTTTATACCAAAACATATTTTTTTTTAGAGTAGGTAATACTTTATGTCACAATTAGTTTTTCACTTGTATATCGATTATATATTGTAATCATAAGTTTGGTTTTGCGCAAGTGATTGCTTTTTTAACTGAAGAGAGTTATAAGTGTTCATTAAACTAACTTTGTGCCTTTTATTGTTCTTAATCTTATATATATTTTATATAATATTTTTGTACATTAAAACATATACTAAGAAACAAACAGAGCAACAATGTACAAAACTCTGGTGCCTTATAATCTCATGTTATACTTATATTGTTGTTAAGATTTGGTGGAACACCACACTTTTACATGTAGCTATATATAATTAATCATTTTGACCTTGATTTTCAAGGATGTAAATATACCAGTTAAATATAAAAATACATGTACTACTTTAGTGTTAGTAAGGTTAAATTAAACTCTATATCAAAAAACTATTTTTATATGAGCTCACTTGAAAGTAAAGTAGAAATTCACTTTTACACTAGTCTAGTTTTAAGATATATCAACAAATCTTAGTCTAAATGAAAACAATACCACATAGAAGTTTGAAATACAGAAGAAACGTGATTGGGGAGTAATTTTGAAAGAAGGAAGTCACATCTATTGCATTGCCAGAAAATGTGGAACACAAGTATATTTTACTCTCTGTGTATTTTACTCATTGAGCTCGCATCTCAGCGTCAGTATTATTTTCATTTATTTGTACTTTGTTAACCATGTATTTGTCTATATTGTAATCTTGATTGTTGAGACTGACCATATTTTTATACTAATATCTGGTCTTATGTTTTGTCAGTGCTTTCGATACTGAAAATAAATGCTTACAAAATGTTGCTAAGACTTTGAAATGCCACCTATTCTTCTTATATAGGGTGTTTTGAAACTCTATGGTCATGTTCCTTGGGTCAACACAAACCAAAACTATCATATAAACATATGCCCTATCTCACTTCGTTTTCCGTCTGTCAGTGTGTATGTATTTTTTATATAACTTCCCAAAACTTTGAAACGAATTAAGGTGTCAACTTCTAACTTGGTACGTGTATGATGACTAATAGTAACTATCTTTTCGCAAAGCATCAAGTTTCTACTTTGTATAATTTCAAAATGGCGACCGTTTAATTTTTCAAAGCTTAATAACTTAAAAACCAGCGGATTTATAAAAAGTTACAAATGACAAAAAAGGATAGAAATTTAATTTCCTTTACAGAAATGTACACACAATGGTAATAACACAAATAACGAAGAAAATTTTATTTTTATAAAGGTAATACCTGCTAATTTATTGAATTTGCCCAATTTTTTTGTTTTAACTTCAGAAAATTTAATATTTTTCCCTTATTTGTGTTATGACCCTATACAAACTGTACATTTCTGTAAAGTGAATTAAATTTCCATCCTCTTTGTCATTTTTAACCTTTTTATAAATCCTATGGTTTTTGAGTTATAAAGCTTTGAAAAATTAAAATTGTTGCAATTTTTAAATTATACATAGTAGAAACTTTATGCTTTGCAAAAGAATAGTTCTTATTAGTCATCATACACGTACCAAGTTTGAAGTTGGTACCTCAAGTGGTTCCAAAAATATGGGAAGTTATGTAAAAATTACATACACTCCGATAGACGGAAAACGAAGCGAGATAGGGCATATGTTTGATATTTTTGGTTTATTTTGACCTAAGGAACATGACCACAGAGTTTGGGGAGAGAGTTTCGAAACACCCTGTATGAGTAATTTAGCTCCTTCATGTTTGAGATGTGTAGGCGAAATAGAACTATGCTTTAAACTTAATTTACTAATTAGATTTTTCTATAAAGTTTTTTGGTACAGAGTATCACATGGCTACTTAAAAAAATGTCTTGTTAGTGAGAAGTTCACATTTTTTAAATATTTCTACTTAATATTTCTAATACTATAAAATATATCTTTATGAAATATTGTATAGGCCTAGGCCTACATTTTAAGGTAACAATAAACTGTTAGTGAAAAAATTATCATTACAAAATATTTTTAGTTTAAAAATGGTGGTAATTTGACCTTTTACCATTTAAATTATGCCTACCAAAAATGGCTTATTTTATGAAAAAAAATGTCAAGAACACATATATTTAGCGTTTGAAATTCCCTATCAAAAGACACTCAAATAACAAACAGCTGAAATATCACGATTTTTTTAGTTGTACAGTAGTCACAGGTAGTCTAGGCGCGCATCCGCGCTAGGGCGGGGGTGATTCCGCGCGCCCAGACTAACTGCGACTACTGTAAGATGAGGGGAAATAAGGCCAAGCTAGTCAGGTTGAACCTGACTAAAATAACCAATTTGAAAAACTAGACACCTTCAGAATCTTTTTATGATTGATTTGGTAGCCATTGATAACACTTTTTTTTATTTTTGCTCACTCATTAAATCGACTCTCAAAAAGAGAGCACTCTAACCAATGTTTTTTTTTCACAAACAATAATCCACGGTTCTTTAAACATTTACAGAAAGCACAGTAAAATGAAAATTCTTAAGACTTTCACAACATTGTTAGAATTAGTTTTGTAGCCACTGATAAATTTTCAGACCATTAGGTCACATAATCAGTGTGGGTAAGTAGGTTAACCAGCTGATTTTCTCTAAAATATTACCTTAAAATTGTCCGATTTTTTCCATTTAAAGTGTTAGTTTCACTGGTCATCTAGGTTTACTGTTACAGTGAAGGTATTAAAGCGGGTTTTTAATGAAATGTTATTCTTAGTATGAAATAAACAAATTTGCTGAATTTGATCAAAATGTATCCCTAATCAAGCGAACTATAGAAGTTTATTTACTATTCAAACAAATAACGTAAGAATTTTAATTTTACTGTTTTTTTTATATTTTTTTCCTCCACCATTAGGTGTACAACGCTTCAAGATTCTGTAGGTACTAAGTTGTTTTTTTATGAGTTCTATCAGATACTTTGGAAAGAAATTGCAAAACTTGATGTTTAGTGGCCAACAATGGGGACAACCAATTTGTACCCAATAAAATCCCCGTTCCCTCAGTCCAAGCATGCTTTTTTTTAACTGAGGCTTATAGTAAACCATGGGATTGCATCACAGCTAAAACAGCTTATTGTGCACCCTCATTCAAAGGTCCTCATTCTCCGTCAAATCCCAGGTTCTTAGTGAACCATGAGATCCTTTGACTATGGTTACCTGTTCTTCTCTTCTTCTTCCGTTCGTCCGGAATCTCACACGCAGACCTTGTGCACATAAATTTCACTTGGAAGGCTGTATCCTCCTCCTCGCCATATTTTCTACATAAGAGGCTTTCAACTTGAACTCCCATCTTGTGTAGATGTCCGCGAAATACCCAATGGCCACTGATGAAGCCAACCACTTTCTGCAGGGTCTTATTCAGCCTAATGGCATCTGCCGTTATCGCACCGGTAGGTGTCTGCAGCATTCTCCTTGACTGTATGTTGCCTTCTGTTCATTCCCAGCTCCTTCAATGTTCTATGCCCATCCACTGGCGAACAGCTCTCCGTGCTGTGTTGTAAGCAATACCACACGTTGGCTCTGGACCCATGAGTGGGCTTTCAGCTCCTTTATTTGCCCACTTGTCAGCTCCCTCATTGCCAGCAATACCTTTGTCCCCTGGAACCCAACTAAGGATAACTTTGTTCTCTCCTAAAGCTTTCATGGCCTGATGACAGTCCCATACTGCCTTAGAGGCAAATTCAAAACTGTCAACAGCCATTAGCACTGCTTTGCTGTCGAGTTCATGTATATGGTGTGGCCTGTCAGACCACACTCCAAACTCTTGCATACTCGGACAGGGCAACAACTTTAGCCGGGAATACAGTAGACAGTTTCCCCAGGCTTACGCAAAACTGTGGGACTGCGCCTTGGGTCTGACTCCACATATATTCTCGCCCCAGTGCCTGTTGGCTTTTGCGAGGCATCCATATACCAAGTGATCCCCCTTTTTATGTTTTCAGGTTCACCCTTATCCCAAGCAACCCTGTCAACAATGTTGACATTGTATGGCTTTTCTAGATCTGTGATCTTCACTATCCTGTCTGGTAACATTTCCAAGGTGTCCATCTGCACATTGTCCACAATCCTTGCCTGCTCACTTGAGTCATTATACTCAAGTGGATTGATGGATGGCTGGTTTTTACTTGAGTTATTGTACTAAAGGACACATACACATGAATTTTAACGTGTGGTATTTTTGGCCTCTAGGGAGTTAAAACTACCTACTGTAGCTTATTCCTTAATTCGCCAAAAAATCTTTTGAAGAGTTTTAAGTCTTTTATTTAGAAGTGTTACTACTGGTATTTATTGCATATTCAGATGTGTTGATACTGTTGATAGTTTATTTAGAAAAGTTAACTTGTAAAAATATTCCAGTAAATGTAGAGGATTTGAAACTTAAAGACTTAATTTATCACTGATATGCGAGCATATAACCCATGAGCGAGCATATGACTAGTAATTCCCCCGCCGCAGCAAACCAACAGACTAATCGCATTTCAATTTTATTGTATTTTTACTAAAATATTTCCATAAACTAGACATATTTATTCCCCATTTAAATAACATTAGATTTATTGAGTGATTAGGTTTGCTGCAAGGGGGAAAGTAAAAAGTGTTTTTCTTTTCAACAAAATCTTAATAGTATAGAATGAAATAAATAAATTTGCCAAATTTGATCAACATACATCCATAATTAAGCAAGTGAACTACAATTTTTCTTTTTGTTCATAAGAATATCATGGGAATTAAAATGTAAAGCTTTTTGGAATTATCTCCGTTACCTTTAACTGTACAACAGTACTTCAATATACCAACATTTGTTTTATCCCTACACGATTAATACGTAATAGAAATTTGGCATTTCCAGGTTTTAAAGGAAAAAAATTTAAGAAAACAATTTTTGAAAATTTTAAATCCCATAATAACCTGTTCATACGACCAACCTATTCATATGATCCGATCTTGCTGGTTCCCAAACTCATTTAGGAAAAGGTTGATCCCATCTCATCAAAGTTTATACCCTACACCTTCAAGCCAGCAAATTCCATCAAAATCAGACCAGAATTACTCAAGTTATTGCACTCAAAGACACATATACATGTATAAAAAATTGAACGAATAGTGTTTTTGGACTTATTATACTTGAGTCAGCATTAACTTTATGAAGAATTCAAACTTATTCTTATCATCACAGTGTCCCAAAACTACAATAAAAGACAATACCTTGTTAATTTTGCCTTAGTCAAAGATTGACCTATGCATGCTCAACGTTTTTCAACTAGATTCTAAATTAAATTAAGAAAAAAAAAAAAAACAATTCATGGATTACTTATTGAAATGACCAACTACTACACCCTAGAAGAGTACTTTGAGGATATGTATGTGTGTACTTCAAATATGTGTGCCTGTCAAGATGATCTATTCAATCATCGTCAAAGACATTTTCTATCACAGTTAAAATTTAAAAATACCCCCACCGCAGCAAACCTGCAGACTCAGTGAATTTCCATTTACATAGATAGATTTCCATTAAAATATTCCCTTAAAATTGTCCCTGTTTATAAATAACATTAATTTATATGATTACTTATGTTTGCTGGTAATGAGGTGTGTTTTGTATTAAAAAAGTTGATAGCTTAGTATGAAATAAACTAAATTGCCAAACTTGATTAAAAAGAGTATATCCATAAACAAGCAAACTACAGCGATTTATTTATTCTCTATAACAAATAACTTGGGAATCTTTAATTTACAATTAATTGTAATTTTCTTCGTAACCCTTGGGCAAACAACACTGCTTCCATGTACAAAATTAGTTTTGTTAAAGGTCTACAAAATGGTTTAGAAATAAACTGAGAAATTGTATGTATTTAGGGCAAAAAATAAGAAAAACTCATTTTACGTCATAAAACCCCCATAATCTGAACATGTTGGCTAGCATACAGGGTGGAAAAAAGACCGTTAAATATTTAAAAAAGTAATATAGATGGAGCTTGAGAACTTTGTACATATAGTTACTGGGCGTTAAGATCATTTTAACACATTATTCAAAGATACGCTACCTCTTCAGGGGTACAGCCCGCTAGGAGTCAGAAGAAAATCTTAAATGTAAGGATAGGTAGATATACACATCAAAATGAAGGTCTTTGTTAGTAAAATACAATGCCACAAACCCAAACTCAAACGGACAACCGAGTCAAAAATGACTGCTATTCAAAGATGCATTAAATTTGCATTGCTATTATACGCTACCTCCTCAAGGAGGTGCCCGCTAGAAATGGGAAGAAAATCATAAACGTATGCATAGGTCAACATGCACATCAAATTAAAGGTCTATATTATTAGAATATAATGCCATAAATTTGGGTCGCCGGAAGACTGCCCCCCGGAAAACTACCCCCCCAAGCAGGTTCCTACGTCATATTGACGTCAGAGACCGGGGGGGTAGTTTTCCAGTCACGGACACTCAAATTTAGTTGTCAAACAGTTCTAATCTAACCTAACCTAACCAACCAAACTTGCTGTAACATTTCAAAAATCTGTTTTATATTCACCATACGCATGTTCTATTGTCCAACGGAATTACTCGAATTAAAATTAAAATTACATAGCATGATTTGTCTAGGGGGGTAGTATTCCAGTCGCGGACACGGCTTCCATATTGGTTAGTTAGCAGATTTTGTGACGTCACGTTTCACCTGGGGGGGTAGTTTTTCGGGGGATAGTATTCCGCATCCCCATAAATTTGAGCTCAAAAGAACAACTGAGTCTAAAATGACAGCCGTTCAAAGATTCAAATGGCAGATTCAAGAAATCTTTGAATGGTTGGTTGTCCGTTTGAGTTCAAGTTTGCGGCATTGTATTCTACAAGTAAAGACCTTTGATTTGATGTGCATATCAACCTATGCCTATATTTAAAATTTTCTTCTGACTCCTAGCGGGCCATCCCCCTGGAGAGGTAGAGGTAATCATGTGTTAAAATGATGTTAATGCCTAGTAACTGTGTACCAAGTATTAAAGCTCTATTTTTATTACTTTTTGAAATATTTAACCGTCTCGGGACATTTTTCCACCCTGTATAAATATATATTTTTGAATGAAGGGTGTTTGGCCTCAGGGGATCTCAAAACAAAAAAGTAAATCGGTCCCGGGCCCATGTCTTACCATGAGACCTAGGGGTAATAACTTATTCCCGAAATGGGAAATTTACTAAAAAAAGTTTTCCTGATCCTTCGGGATCTGGAATCTGATCCTGTCCTCAGGTCAGTTTGGGGGTTGTTTTACTTATTGTGATGGGAAGTGTCTGCAATAACCTATGAAACAGGACAAACTCACCATCATCAAAAATTCACTTTAAACAAAGAACTTTAAAGGTTATAGAATAGGCCATTATTTTTATAGGTACAGTGACGATTTCATCGGAAGATCTCCAATTGTCAAGACAGTTGTTTGTCAAGACATTGTTAAAACCCCCAAAACGGGATTTGAGGTTTTCCTTCAGGAGGTCCTCCATGTCCACGCAGTCTCTTGGTGGCAGGATGGATTTGAACTGAAATGATGAGTTTCGGAGCAACTGACGGTCGACGTGAGAGTATTAACAGGGAATGCCTGAGTAACGGTCGAGGACTCTGAGCAGGGCTGCACTGGTCTCCGGACGCCATTGGCAGACCAGAGTTCAATGCCTTCGCTTCGGACGAGTCTTCTTCGCGTTTACGTTAGTCAGCTGAAAGCCAAGGCCGCGCTAACACCTATCCTTCGACCTGCTCCTGCTTCTTCTATCCTTCCCGTCCGTCCCTGTCTTAGTTCGATTCAGTTTTTGTGATTCTATAGGATTTATCGCTTTATCTTTCAGGTGAGTGATGTAGTGTTGATTTAAATTAGAAGTAGCCTAATTATTTCTTCTTCTCTTATAGGTCAGCGATTTTGATCCAGTTTTTTTATTACTAATAACCAGAAAGAATTTGTGCAAAACCGTGATTTGAAAGATTTTTTTGTGTTTGAATTGTTTTATAGTATTAACAGTTAATATTTATTTACTCCAATTGATGTATTATTTTAACAGTTTGAAGAAAACAGTTAAAAGAAACTCATCGAGCTTTTTATACTTGGAGCATAATCATATACTGTATATTTATCAAAATAAGGGGTTCACTGCTGAAAACCGGTTCATTTTCTTACTAATGTTTTCTTCTTGTAAAAAAAAAAATAATTATTTCCCGGTATTGTTATTCGTGTTTATTTATTCATTCGTATTTATTATTCGTAGTTACTACTAAAAACTGGTCTGAAGAGCAAGTGAACGAAACTAGTTTATATGACTTTTTAACATTGTTTTTGTTAACGAATAAAACAATTTAGTGTAATCCATGTCCTTTCGAAAATAAATGTAAGGTTTTAAATCACAGTTTCAGAAAAAATTCGTTTAGAAAGCTAGACAGGAAGTGGGTAAATATTAGAGGAGTGTAAAGAATTCAAAGTAGCGTTCCGCGCTACGCAGCCTACTTTCAAAGTACAGTTCTTTTATTATTGCAGAATCTTCTGGTATTCACGGAGCGTCGTGAGTTGTTTTTCGTACAAAAATACATCCACAAATAAAAGTGAAAAGGTCAAAACCCGCTAAATAGCTAATTTTGTTTAGCATTATTAACTTGATCTAGTTGTAGGCTACAATAAAAAAAAAAATTTGCACCATACGAAGCATTTGCGATAGCCTAATAAAATTTACACAGTTTCCTTTCATTGTAAGATTGGTGTTTAAAGTTAAATGCTTGAGTGCTAAAATTAAATGTTATGGTTTTAATTCAATTTAAAATTAATGCATAACAAAATATTTACGTCAAAAAATTGAAATTGAAAGATTTGTGCAAAATTCTGTACTATTATGATTTTAAATGATCCGAAGTGTTAATAAACATTCAAAATATCATAGTTAACATATTATTCTTTATCGCTTAAACCCCTATGGAAAATATAGATGGTGTAAAAGTAGTTTTAAGCGTAGTTACAATTGAATAGATTACGAAATAAATTAAACTGTACAAATGTTTGACGATTCCTACGAAGAAGTATTTATGGTCATACATTGTACCTACATTTAAAAAATCGAGGGCTTGCGTATCTATATATGGCCAAATTTGCTCTTATAAACAATGTAACGCCTAAAGGGGTTTAGCTTTTAAAAATTAACTTTAACTTATCAGACTGTAAACCATCTTTTTAAACTATTACACAACAGAAATAACTGAAATCGCAAATCAGTCTGTTAAAATTTAATGTTGAACTACCAGTGGTAGGTATATACTCGTCAAAGACTGTATGTTTATGTAACATTTATTTGTTTAAAGTACACAGATTTTCCTAACCCCTGCTTAATCATTATTATGTTTATGAATATGATAAACTATGATTAATTGTAAAATACAGTATATTGTATTGTTTGTTAAACATAATTTGTTCGTAAGTTGATATTTCTGATACACTGCTTTACAATACATTCACCATTCATAGATCGGACGAGGAACAGTGCGTTCTTGTATCCTTAAAAGGTGGATCGGTGGATCATTGCATATATTGAATCAGCTGTTTGCATTGTTGTCAAGTTCTCATTTGCTCACAGCGTCTTTACAACTGGGTAGCTGAGTGGTAACCGCTTTAGCGTATTTTTCTGAAGGTCGTCGGTTTAGTAAAAAAAAAGTCAAAAGCTTTTTTGCCCAAACTCAAATGTTCTTCATCATTGGGACTTAATAAACGGCATTGGCTAGAGAGAAAGCTACACAGATCATATTATAAATCCATTACCTCATTCTGCATCCATATTCTGCTTAAAATAGACTACACACTCAGTTTGTGTAGCTGTATTTATGAAGTAATTAAATACTTATCGAATACAGGATTTTCATACAATGTTGGTTTAGTTTTAGCTATAAATTAAAATGAAAGCTGCAAAATATATGTAATATTTATAAGTTGTAATTACTGGTACAAGAACGAGTTTTAAGCAAATGTTTTACACTTCAATGCTTCCACCATTGCTCTACAGACGTTCATTCGATGATCTATTGCAACCTTCTAAAGACATTTCACACAAAGAAAAACTTCGCTATTTTCAGCAATCAATCCAGCTGTTTTTACCAATGTAGTTGTCTGAATTGGATGCAGAGTTATATGAGTTCGTTTTATTTTTCCAATTATATGTTTGTTTGAGAATCCAGTATCTTCTGTGATCCAAAACATAACATACAAGTTAGGTTTCACATGCTTTAAAGTTAACGAACGTCCATATTTTTGGAAAATAAAATGTGATAATTTACATAATTTCAAATGACATGGATTCAAATTATAGATTACGTAAATCAATTTGAAATATGTTGAAATTTACCTATAAGGTCAGATTTTTATATTTTAATTTGAACCTATTCGACTTTGTTTAGAAACGTGTTTAGCTTAGCGAGTGCATTTAATTAAACTAACTCTCAAATACATTATCATTGGAGGATATATTTTGCCAACTTTAAGGAGTTAAGAATGAATTCTGACAATGTTGTAAGAGTTTTTCAGTACAATTGGCTAACAAGCGTGTATAGTTTATTTTTTTTTAACATACAGTATTCACAAGAAATGCTATGTCAAATGAACAACTTGGCTGCCCCAGCGTGCAAATAGGACATCATAAAATAATATAAAGTTTGAAATGATTTCTTAAAACGTATTCAGGGAACAAACTTCAATAACGAACCCAAGCTCCAGTATAGCCAGTTATGTAAATGAAATTGCCATACGGGATTCGTAATCGTTCTGATTCCTACAATTAAAAATTCCCGCGATTTTCCGTTGGCAAATCCCAACCTGTCATCGCCCACTCCCTAAGACCCGATTTCTCTTACGTTCCGGGTACAAACTGTTGAGTCACTACGAATGAAAGTTAATTTCGTAAAACCAATATGTTCAAATACCAACAATAACATACCACGTATCATGATAGAGTTTGATACTTGGGGAACGGTTAACTTAGCGTTTCATACATGCTTTAAAAAATTTGACAAAAAAGCCAAAAATACCCATTTTACACAACAATGTACAAACAAACTACACTGTCCGTAAAATCTCTTCATTGTGAGCTCATAACTTTAAGTACTAATGCTTTAAACGGGTAGTTTTGTAAATTCAAAAGAAATTTGTATTTTGGTAGCATAACTATATCTATACACCTTTTCAGTATTATAATTGTACATTATTCGATAAATTTTAATTTAGTTTATGAACGTGAAATTGGGGAAAATTTTGATGAAAAACGGGATCAACTGTTTTAGTGGAAACAAATTGAGAATAACACGATTTCCGTAAAATTGAAAAAGAAACCCCTCTAAAGAGCAGGCGCAATCTTATATTACAACTTAAACACATTTGACTCTTCCCTTTATTCAACTCACGAGTACTAAATCACTCACGAGTAAATAAATGTTTGTCTTAATGTTGATTTTACTAGTCATTTTTTCTAGATTTTGCTCGCTTGACATGTATTCTTTTAATATTGGTTGTTTCTGATAGGTATTAATTAGGAATAAACTTCATTAATGGAAATAAAACTACACTATTACATGTAATGTTAAATGTTTACATGATTAAATAAAGTTACTTCGATTGATTCAAGCAGATACTGTATTATAGCATCATCGCATTATATCGTAACTATAAACAACATGTTGTAGGAAACAAAATACATCTGGTATAGATTCGCATGGCCAAACCTAATTCAACTTCCTCAATTAATCATTAACGATGCATGGAAGAAAGAAGGGTCAATGGTTTCTAAAAGATATTCATCTTCCTTGTTTCAAATATTGTATAATCCTTTGTAGGATTTTTGGAGCAAATAAGCTCTTTTACCCAATTAAGAACAGATTTGTGAGTTCAAAATCTTTTGTTTGGGGAGAATACTGCACTTTCACTTTAAGAGGGGTCAAGAACAAACGAAATATTCAAATTGCACGAAGGTTCGATGACTTTTCTCTTCTTTAACTAGCGCAGATTAGCAGAGAATGACCGTTTTGACAGTTTATCTGTTAAGACTTTATTGGTTCGTCATGGTCATAAAAATCAGAGGATAGTGTTTTAAAGTAGCTTTAATGTCTCTTTAAAAGTGTTTAAGTTGGAAGAGACTGTAACAATAAAATAATCTAAAATCAAGTTTATGTTAGGCTCATTTTTTAAAAATGTATCAATAGATTTACGCAGTACCAACAAACCATAGTACAGAATTTAAGAAAAAATCAAGATAAATTAATGACAACTAATAAAATAATAACTATATACGAAAACACGACTTACCCTCATTAATATAAATAAAACATCCGCTCAATCAAGTTTATTTTTTTTTGTAACCGTTTAGACATCAAAGAAAAATGTAAAGTATTATTAATCTTCTCGTGCAATGTGGTAACATTCATCAAAATATACTTTGCAAAATCATTGTTTTTAATTTCATTGAAAAAATAAAGGTAATTTGATTAAGTATATCAAATAAATATAATAACACTATTCAAGGAAGATAAAACATACCAAGGTTATCAAGGTATAATACGGTATCAGGGTATAACCTACTGTATAATAATATATATACCTGAGTATATATACTCCCCCCAACACTGACCAATTTATTGATGTCACCAAAGAATGGACAGACAGTAAGAGGAAGAGGGAATCAATTATTAGACCAACATTTTTAGTACAAATGTAAACTATTATATTCAGGAACCATTTAGGATATGTGTGTATAAGAATTTTCGTACATGCAGTATAATTGGTTTTATTTTTTACTATTGATGCTTTATTTTTTGCAACAATATTACAGTA